GGGCGGGGGGAGGAAAGAGAGACAAACATCCATGTGGCAAAGATGCAATATTGGCTGCCTCTTGCACAGCTCTGGGAAACCTGCAACCAAGGCATGTGCCCTTGACTGGGAATGGAACCCGAGACCCTTTGGTCTGGGGGCCAACTCTAACCACTGAGCCAAGCCATCCAGGGCTCACATTTCTTTATACAAACATCAGGGTTCAATCAATGCATACCAATTGATATAAGTAACTGTTTAAAACAATTACTATCTTACAAGCAAAATTTGAACCCAAGCTAAGTATATGAATTTGCAATCTTTCTTGACAGCATGAGATGAATTGAATGATTAGTTATATGGCCTATTCTACAGCCAAATTCCCTCTATTTATCATTAGGGATATAAATTTTAAAAAGGAGAGTCATACCAGAGTGAATAAAGAGAAAAGTTAGGAAGCAAATATATTCTTACAAAGACCAAGGTATTTGTTCATTTGTTTAACTCTGTGGTATTAAAATACGTATTTCTCTAGAACCTAGAAAATTAAAATCAGATAAATTGACTAACATACATATATATATGCACTATGAATTACAATTCTACAGATCTCTGCTGGAAATAAATCGAGTTCAATCAATTAGTACTCAAAAGAGAAATGAAGCCCACCGAAGAGGAGAGACTCGCTCTCCAGGTCACAAGTCATTAACCTGCATTAGAGCTGGGACTGGGCTCCACCTTCTCTGACACGCAAGCCAGAGCTCTTCTACTTCTTGCAATCCTGGCGTCAGGGCTCTCTCCACATGGGAGACGCCGCCAAGAGCACTCATCATCTGTACTGTTCATGTGGCAAACAATTCAAGGTAGTAGTGGGAGCCATCTGTTGCCCTCTTCAGGCCTCACCTGTAGCCCCTCATCTGTTTTCCTCACTCCTCCACAGCAGAACAAATACAAATTCCATGCCTCTAAAGTGGAAGCAAAGTCCCCGCACAGAGCAGGTGCCTAATAATTGCTAGTGAAAAGAAAAGCTCATTTGGTTGATGTCCTGGCAAGTGTCCAAAAAGCTTTGTTCAAAACAGATCTGTCATACTTTAACTTCAACAAAACTGAAATTTTCAGTTATACAGTGTATAAAGCTACTATGTTTCTGTGCAGATGTTCATCCATTATACTTTTTAATAAAACCTTATTTTAGTGTATTTAAAGGTTACTATTTCGATAAATGCGTATGTTTGACTTTAAAATTAAACTTTCAGATAAGAAATTAAGATTAAACATCATTTTCTTTAGAATTAAAAAAACATACCATAAGCCCAGGAATTGGAAAAATATGACAATTCTCTTTTTAATGAAGATTAGGTACTATACTTATCTTTTGAAAAAGAGCATCAGAGAAAATTTAAATGCTTATTTTATAATTTAAGCAGGTATTTTATTCCTACCTGTTACAGCAAGAAGTGCACCGAAATTTTTAATCAAAGCCAGGACAAAGGAAATTCCAAAATACCCAGTGAGGGAAAAAAGAAAAGCATAACCATAGGTTCGCATTAGATTCTGCAACATATAAAAAAGCCTGTGAGAAAAATGCAATACAAACACTGAGA